AGATAGCCCCTCAAGAAGGAGCAAAACAGTGAGCCCTTTATTTTATTTATCCATCTAAATACTAATTTCTGTATTTAGTTAGTTATTTGGCTGTGTTGGGTCTTAGTTGTGGCGTTTGGGCTCTAGAGCAGGCAGGTTCTAGTTGTGACTCGAGGACTTAGTTGCACCGTGGCATGTGGAATCTTAGTTCCCTGATCAGAGATTGAACCCATATCCCGGCATTGGAAGGTGGATCCCTAATCACTGGATCACCAGGGAAGTCCCCAGTGAGCCCTTTAAATAAGCTGGAAGGTACCAAGGTTCTTGAGGATACTGAAGTTCAAATTTTAGCAGTCTATTACCCTATTAGATACCCTAGGTATCTAAGCAATATAGTAATGAAGGGAGTACAGAAGTAGGGGGAATGTATTTACTAAAAGACAACTGCAGAATATTGGGGGAAAAGGAGGTTTTGGAGTCAGAGAGGCCAAGTTACACCACTTACTATTCTAAGTCCTTGTACAAGTTACTTAATCTCTTTGAATTGATTCCTCATCTATAAATAAATAAATAAAGTCTATTTTGTAAGGTCCTTGTGACACCCAATTAACTAATCTTTGTAAAGTATCTGTTAATCTTTAGCATTTAGTGGAGGCTCAGTCTGGATTAGTTCCCTTCCCAGTGTTGCCTGAGGACACTGAAATTTACTCTCCACAGTGCAGGTGGCCCCTCCCCTACTAAGAATAGGTAACTAATCTCCTGGGCAGATCAGATCCACAAACATTCTGTTTATTGTGAGAACTATACTGGGTTAAGAACTGGGGTTGAAATGAAAGGGGTGAATCAGAAGCCAAACACAGGTTTCCAACCCTCTAAGGAGAGAGGAAAGGAAAAAAGACACAAATGAAGGTAAAGTTAAACAATACAAAAGATTTAAATAACAGCTCAAGGTAATGAATGTTCCAAGACAGGGCATATATGTCTAATTGGTCACTGAACTATACAACTGTGTGCTGCTTTGGGAGCCTAGAGAGGGTGGAAATCCCTTCAAGAAAAGATGGAAGAAAAGATAGTTGGGTTGAGCCTTGGAAGAAGATAGGATATGGACAAAGGGAGATTTGGTAAGTTTAAGAAGCGAATGTGTAGTGTCTTTTTGCATAGTGTTCTGAGTGATAAGTCAGTAAACAGAGATGCTTTTGCTAATTCTAAACATAGGCAATGGAAAGAAAGTTATTATGCTTCCAACATATTTGTAAACAAGGGCTCAAGGACCTGAATGCAAATAAATTTGATTACCACTTTCTCGAAGGAAGTCTTCTAGGTTATTTTTCTCAGTTCTAAGCTCATTTGTCTTAAACTATGCACTTTCCAGTTTGTTTATTGATATTTTGCCTCTTAAAAATTTACTTCAGTTGTACATTCTGGATGATGATAAATCCCTAAGCAGGATCTATGTTAGCCAGTTGCTAAAAGAATCATATGTAACAGTTTGTGACTTGGGTGATGTCACTGTACTGTGTAAACTGTAAAGGGCAGTGAACATTAGATTCATAAATTTGGAAGCAATCTTAAGGGTCTTCTAGTTTGGCAAGTGAGATCAAGTGTAACCCAGGATGACAATGCTAGAACCAGAACCCAGCTCTTCTGATAATCAGCAATGTCTGCCATCTTTCTCACTACATCTGCCAATATTTGAGTGCCTACATGAATTACATGTGGGGATAAGAGTTTAAGAGTAACTGTACTTAAGACATATATGATTATTTCCCTTTAGGAGCCTATATGGGGGAAACAAACAAATGCAAACAAATTAAATTATGGCAACTTGTGATAAATAAAGGGCTTCTCAGTGGCGCCAGTGGATAAAGAACCCACCTCCTAATGCAGGAGACCTAAGAGACTCAGGTTTGATCCCTGGGTAGAGAAGATCCCCTGGAGGAGGGCATGGCAACCCACTTCAGTATTCTTGCCTGGAGAATCCCACGGACAGAGGAGCCTGGTGGACTACAATCCATAGGGTAGGAACCAAACAGACACAATTGAAGTGACTTAGCACATATGTGATAAATAAAATGACAAAATTACATTGCTCTAGATAAGGTACTGGGGTAACATTTAAGTTCAAATCTGAAGGAGACCAGAGCCAACCAAAAGTGGACTCGGAAGAAGGAAGGGAAGGGAGAACTCTTCCAGATAGAAGAAACAGCAAGTATAGCTCTTTCCTGGGCAGGAAAGAGATTGGCAGTGTCCACCAGGAACTGAGGAAAGGTCAGGGTGAGGATGAGGCCAAGTTGAAGCAGTAGAGAAGTGCTTCCTCACAGGTCACAAATTCAAATGCACAATTGGGCTGACAAGGCGCATTTGTTCAAATTTGTTAAAGATTCTGTAAGCCAAACAAAACACAGCATAACTACTTCAGCCCAGAGGTCCCCATTTTATAACCCCAAGGGCTTTTATTGTTTGTTTGTTCCTTTGCTTTTTTTTTTTTGGCAGCCTCTTGCATCTTGTGGAATCTTAGTTCCTGGACTAGGGATTTATCCCAGGCCCTTGGTAGTGAAAGTGCCATGTCCTNCCTGGCAGTCCTCATCAGACACTCCCTTAAATACAAGAATACAGTCTCTCAGAAAACCTTCTATAGAGACACAAAACTTCAGATGTCTTCAAAGATTTCAAAAGGAGGAGGACCAGAGACAATGCCGGCATACACAAACAAGGAGAGCCGAAGGCAAACACACAGACAGACAAACGTCGACCAATAACATAGCGCTGGGTTTTCGGGGCCCCTGAATTCTCTTGCCTCCCGGTAGCAGGTTTATCTTACCGAATGGCGTCCACTGTTCACCAGACTCGGGATCAGGAGAGGAACTCCCCTTCCCACAGAGCCGGCAGCCTTCCAGCACACTCACTGGCCTCGGTCTTGCGCCGGCTGGAACGTCCAATCCGTTCCCCATTTATAGAAAGCTTTCTCCTGTGCCAGATACCTTCCTGCTTCTCAGCAGGGCCTTGGATTTACACTAGACTTTCCTGTTCTGCCTGAGCACCGGTGCTATATATATCCTTCCCCTCTGTCCTGGAAGTGTTCTCTTTCCCTGGTCAAGGGATCCCGGATGAGCCCCCAAATGTTATGCCCGATGTCCAAATCCCCAAGCAGGAAGACAGGCTTCCAAGACAATGCAACTTGCAAAAAAAGGGAAGTTTATTGCTGACTCGAGTCAGGGCTCCTGCCGTGCGTCCAATGCAGTGGTACCGGGTCAGAGAGCGCTGAGCTCAAGCTGTTACCCAATTTACAAGGTGTGCATAAGCAGTTGGTAGCTGGCTTAAGCCGATTGGTTACATGTTTGCAAAGTAATCTTATTGGCCCAAACCTTCGCGGGCTTTTTTCAAACTTGGGCGTTCACGGGCTTTTCAGCTTTCCCCTGATAGGTTCCCTTTTTCTTGCTAGGTGCATGTTGATTGGCCGGCTCCAGGTTACCTGATGGGGGCGGGGAATCCCACCATTTCACGGGAAACCGAAACCCAGGTCCGGGCCGCCTGCCAGTCCCAGCAGCCCCACACTAAGCACAAGTAGATTGCTTTTGAGGGATTTTGAGTAGGGGCAGATTTGTGTTTTAACAAGATCGTTAAAGTACTTTGCTTGAGATGAGTTAAGTGCCAGGGTCACTCAATAGGCCCAACCCACTTCTCTGTGCTCTCCTCTCCTTCCGTGCAACAGAACCAAGGACCCAGCCAGCTGTATTTGCTTACTATCTCTGCCCACTCTCCCCATTGGATTCTGTTTACTCCAAGTTTGGTTGCTAAAAGGGAAATCAGCTCTTCAGGTCCATTCATGATCTTGCTACTGTATATACACACACATATGTATTGATATTATATATACACACAAACACTAATATGTGTGTTTTGTGTGTATGTGCTCAGTTGTGTCTGACTCTTTGCTACCCCATAGACTGTATGAAACCCACCAGGGATTCTCCAGGCAAGAATACTGGAGAGTAGGTTGCCATCTCCTACTCCAGGGGACCTTCCCAACACAGGGATCGAACCTGCATCTCTTGCCTCTCCTGCATTGACAGGCTGATTCTTTTACCACTGCACCACCTGGGAAGCCCTATGTGTGTATATGAAAAGTGAAAGTGAAGTCACTCAGTCCTGTCCGACTCTTCGTGACCCCTTGGGCTGTAGCCTGCCAGGCTCCTCTGTCCATGGGATTCTCCAGGCAAGAACACTGGAGTGGGTTGCCATTTCCTTCTCCAAGGAAATCGTCCCAACTCAGGGATCGAGCCCAGGTCTCCCGCATTGCAGGCAGACGCTTTAACCTTTGAGCCACCAGGGGTTGGTACCCATGATCAAGGTCACAGGAAGCGAACTTGCATTCCTTAATTTTGTGACAACCTCTCACCATTTTCTAAAATCCAAAATGCTAATCACGCCTTTCCCTGAAGGGTTGTTCAGGTAAAGGTAAAATGAGATAAAATCTAGAAAGTGAGTGGCACATAGCAGGTGGTCAGTTAATGTTTGACTCAGCTCATGATCCCCTGTGGGCATTTCCTCACAAAGCTTCAGGTGGATACTTCTAAACTGTAGCTTTCTATTCCGTTTTCTTTGGTATTTGTTCCAGCACACATAGGGGCTCCCACAAAAGTGACTGAATGAAAATTTCTTGGCAACAGAGGGTTCCTCACCCCAACAAAAACACTTTCAGAAAAGGCTACTATGGATCTTGGGTTACTGAGCAGCGGTACCTTTCAGAACCCCTATGGTCTCTCATATCCCACCTGGCTGGCCTGATTCAAATGGCTCATTTACGCCACGGTCACACTGGTCGATCAACTAAGGGAGGTGGAAAAGGCAGTTGCTTAGTTTTAGAAGGAGCACCGGTAGGCCCCACAGATCCCGCCTCTTTCCACGGGGCAAGCCTATCAGCGTTCCTCTAGCGAAGAGCGGCAGCTCCCTAGAAGCCAATGAGTTCCGCTCCCTGGAATTATCCCGCCCATCCGTTGTGTCGTCACTCGGCCTCCTGTAAAATAGAACCAAGACTACGCTTCCCCTTAGCTCGCCTGTTGGCGGGTGTTTGCGTTGAAACTATACCGAAAGCCTGACCTTAAAGGGGAGGGAGCAGAGGGGAACCGGGGCCCTTTAAAACGAGGCCAGCTGGTGCCTGCCCCTTTAAGGGCGGGGCACTCAGACGACAGAATCTGAGCCCCAGATTACCCCGAGTTTCCGTCACAAGCTGCAAGGTAAGGCTCCTTCGCTGGGTCCGGGTGCTTGGCGGCGGCGGTTTTATCGCCGCTGGTCCTCCCCGGGCCCAGAAACACCCCAGCCCCAGTCATGCTGAGCAGAGTATGGAAGGAGCTGACTACGAAGTGCTATCCGTGCGAGAGCAGCTATTCCACGAGCGGGTCCGCGAGTGCATTGTGAGTCCGGGACCCGGGCTGGAAGGGTAGGACCAAGTTGGGGAGAAGCACGGGTGTCGCGGGAGAGGGAGACGTCCGGATCGGAGTAAGACCCCCTGGGCACAGCGCCGGCAGACCCTGCTTGGTCTAGGGGCGAGCGACCAAGAGCCCTGGTCCGACTAGTGTCCCGGCTGGCGAATCCCTAGATCGGCTCCAGCTGAGTAGCTGCGCGATAAACAAAGCCGGTTGGTTTCCGTTCCTCCCAATGTTTGATGAAGGGGACGTGAACAGGGATCTTTGGTGGGTTTCTCACTTTGGAGGAAACGACTCTTCCTGGGGTGGATTCTGCCGTGTAGAAATGGAGAACAACTAAAGTGTCCCCTTCTTTTCCTCGCCCTTATTGGTGTTTTGTTAGAGACCCTGCAAGCCGAGTTTCCTAGCTTCGCAGCCATTCAGGGATTTCCTCTGAAGGGTTGCCCCCGGTGCGACCGAGGGCTCCTGGCTGCTTTCCTTACTCGCTCGCTGCCACCTAGAGTAACAGCTGAAACGGTCACACAGCGAGGGACTCCTTACTTCTGGGCCAGGGGCACCCGGGGGAGCTTAGGGGATCGCATCTTTCTTGCATCTGCGCCAAACTCTCATATCTTTCCCTTCTCCTCTCCTTCCTCAGAGCTCCCCAGGGTTGCCCTCACCCCCAAATATAAAAGGGAAAGGGAAAGATTTAGAAGAAGAGGAGTGGAGGAGCCACTGCAGGGGTCGTCCTTCATTTTTCTCAGACTGGGCTCCAGTCTGCCCTGGGCAGCCTCAGATTGGAGGAGGGCTAAAGTGAGCCAAGGCATAACTAGGTCTGCCTTTATCTGTGAGGACTGAAAAGTAGGGAGTTTATCAGTCCATGTGTGGGAACTCCAGATCTGCTTTCAGGAAGCTTTCCTTGTGCGTTTCTTAGTGGAGAGTTGCACATGGCAGGGTTGGGCATATCGTGGAGTCACACCCAGGCCTTGAGGCAGTGGAGAGCCAGAGACCCACTTTCCTAGAGAACAGGGAGTGAAGAGATCTTGGAGAGAGAAGCAGCCTCCTGGATGTCGTCCCATCCTTTAGTCCCATTAGCTGAGAATGTCAGCGCTGGTCAAGGGCATCCTGAGAACTTCTAGTACATCTCTCACCTGGCTCCAGTCCCCTACTCTAGAGAATCACCTGGCCTCTTCTGGGCCTGTATGGAACTCCGGCCTGACCTTTTGAGCCCTCGCGCCTTCCTGCTTATTATGCATGCCCAGGGCCGAGCACTAAGCAGTAAAAATCTTGGAGTTGAAATCTAAGTGGCTTATTCTACTCTACTTTCCTATTGTTAAAAGCTACAATTTTGTCCTAGACCCATGTTTCTCCTGGGGTCTGTCTTCTCTCTTTGCATAGATAGCTATATGCAGATTCCCTGTAGGGTCAGCTTCTCTTGGGGACTGGAGCACCTGTGAGACTGATCCTGCCTTCTTGGCCCAGTTTAAACAAAATAACATCTCAAGATTCTCTGACCCTGATTGTGGAGCAAAGGTGATGAGTGCCTCCTTCCCTGGGCAATAGCAGCTTACTTGGGGTAGGGTGGAAATGTATGCATGTGTAGGATAACCTGGTCAAGTCCTGCCAAAACTGTCCATTGGAGGACTAGTCATCAGGGGCATAGGACAGACCCTGAGAGACCTACCCTGGGAGCTGGAAATTACTTTAGGTAGGGACCATGGATTGATAGCTTTTAAAGGTTTTGATCTCAGTTCTAGAAGCTTTATAGATGTGGAACCCCAATTAAAGCCTACTATTATGGGCAGGGCATGAAAGAGACTCTGGTTTGGCCCAGAGCAGACCTGATCTTTTAGGGCCCCTGAATAAACAGTAGAAGCCCTGAGTTGGTTTGGGAACATGATTCCTACTATTCTCTCCCGGAGCTTGGATCAAGGTGGGAGTGGAGGGAGAGGGAGTGGAGTGCCAGCACAATGAAGACATCCCCTTCTTCCCCTCAAACTTGCTTTTCCATTTATATGCTAGGAAGAAATCCCTTCTGGTTCTGTGGCCTTTTTCAGATGTGTGGATATGTGCATCTCTAGGAGTCTTCTCTGCTCATGAGCACCAACCAGGGTTCAGCTGAAACTATTTTCTCCCAGGGAAAAAACCCTCATAGAGTTGGACATGGTGCTCTGTTCCCAAGTGCATGGGTCAGCCACTGAGGCCTTGATTAGAAGGAAGTACTGGGGAGAAAGATGGAACCCCTGGATGTATGGAGCCTAGTTTGGGGAAAGTGTCCCCATGATTAACAGAGAGGCCACTGGCGCTGTGAAATGTGTGGGGATTAAAGCTTCTCGTCTTGCTCATTTCTGCCGCAGATCTCAACACTGCTGTTTGCGACTCTCTACATCCTCTGTCACATCGCCCTGACCCGCTTCAAGAAGCCTGCTGAGTTTACCACAGGTACCTGTGACTTCCCTCCCTCCTGCCTGCCTTCTGCCAGTGTTCCTGTTGCCATGGCACCAGCCTCAGGGGAAGAGGGCTGTGTTGCTTGCTGGGAAAGTAGAGGTGTCTGTTCTTGAGCTTCTGCCTCCCTTCTTCCACAGGCAGGGACAAGGTGGTATAGTGGAGAGTCTAGAAGGAGGACCAGTCATGTAACTTTTATCACCTCAGTTTCATTCTCTACAAAATAAAAGCCTAACAGTTTCTACCCAGTCCATTGGTATTGTGTGGACCAAATATGATGGCTAACGTGAAAACTCTCTGTGAACCTCAACAGGGCAACTGCAGGGTGAATATTATCATGGGCACAAGCTCTGTCATGTCCTCTTCTAGTGCTTCTACACCCAGGACCTCCCTGACCACTGGGGTCCCAGGACCTGGTGATGGTGACCTTTCTCTTTGCAGAGAATTCAGATTAAGGCTTTCAGTCGGCATTCTATGATTGAGGGGGATGCACTTGTCCCAGTTCCTAACTCCAGCCTGTCCAGATCTTCCAGTCCTGGCCTGAACCTTTCCTCCCCTCCAGATGGCTTCATGCGCCCTCAGCCAAGAAGGCAACCACTCCTCGGTGTGATTCCCCTGGGGACTTTCTCTGTGATTCCCAACCCCCGTCCCCATTTCCCTTCACTGTACCTAGCCACTGATGTCATCAAGCTCACAGACTGGTCATTGATTGTATTTTCAGCTTACAAAGAGGAACCTATAGTGGAGAAGATCTAGGGAAGGAGGGAAGTGGGGGAATTTCATGTTCTCACCCCCTGGGACCACTGATCTTTAAGCTGCCACCCAGGCAGAGTGGATTGTGGGGTTCATAGTGTGAGCTCTCCTGAGCCTCCTGTCCTGCTCTGCCTCGGTGGGCCCAGGCCCCCCTTCAAGGGATAGGGAGGGAGCAGGAGGGCGCTATGCAACACAGATGGTTCCCAGAGCTGCCCACTGATGACCTGCCTCTCCCCCATGCCTCTGTCTTTTGTAGTAGATGAAGAAGATGCCACAGTCAACAAGATTGCGTAAGTACTGCTGCCTCAACACCTGGCACTGGTAGCCTTTGGAAGCTGGAATCTAGTGGGGCCCTGGGAGCAGGGAGAGAGTGAAATGTCAGAAGAGACGATTTCTGCTTCCACCCCATTTCTACCTTCTTCCGGCTTTACACAATCCTGGGGACGCTTGAAAAAGCCGCTCTTCCTGTCTCCCTGGTTTGGCCGGGAGCTTCAAGGAGCCTCTTGGCCAGGAACTGTCTGCTGGGGTCGTGAGTCACCCCGGAAGCAGCTCCAACTTGGCTCCACCTCCCAGCAGCCATTGGAGAAGGGGTGGGGTGGGGATGAAGACTGATGGAAACGCCAGGGGCTGGGGAAGGTGGAACCCCCCGAGGGTGGGGCTTGGTTCTGAGAGAATGGCCCTAACTGTAGGCTATTATTATCCACTAGCACCTATAGAGAAAAATATAGAGATGACTCCTCTGGTTCAACAGACAACAAATTAAAAGGCAACCCCCACTCTCATCCCTCATGGACCAGCTAGATAAATGCCCCTTCTTTTGAGCTGATGCAGTCTCGGGCACAGGTCTTGGCCATGAAGCTGGGTTTCAACTCCGCTTGTCTCTCTTTGCCTTCGTGCCCTTATGCATATGGGTTGACCCTGCTCTCTCCAGGCTCAGAAATCCACATCCCCGAGGTGAGCAGAGCAGTCAGGCCCATTATCTTGGCATCATGCCTGGCACACCCTACAGACATTGTGGGAAGACCGCATTCCTGGGGACAGTCTGGGCAAGTGACATGGCTGGTGACCAGGTACCCATGAATTCCTGAGATGTGCCCATCTCGTGTGCCAAGGATTCCCTGGAGGTGAAGGCTGGGGTATGAGGCAGCAGGTAGAGTGCCAACTCTTTCCCTGGGTCTGGCATTGCTCCAGCTGGTTCTAGGAGGAGTCACAGGTGCCCATGGCATGAATGGGGCTTCTTGGGCCCAGGGAAGTGAATGTCTGAGCTAAGCAGGGGCACTACCCCTTCTTTGCCCAGGCTCGAGCTGTGCACCTTCACCCTGGCAGTCGCCCTGGGTGCTGTCCTGCTCCTGCCCTTCTCTATCATCAGCAACGAGGTGCTGCTCTCACTCCCTCAGAACTACTACATCCAGTGGCTCAACGGCTCCCTCATCCATGGTGTGTTGATCCTGGTTGCAGCTGACGGTGGGGACAGGGAGCAGATCGGGTCAGGCAGACACAGACAGCCTGGGGCTAGTTAGTCATAGATCACCCCATCCCTTCCACCTTCCCTTGGTCAGTCCTCAGTGGGTTAGGGCGTCCCCCTTAAGACCATCTCTGCTTTTCCTTTTTTGCTCTAGGCCTCTGGAACCTTGTTTTTCTCTTCTCCAACTTGTCCCTCATCTTCCTCATGCCCTTTGCATACTTCTTCACTGAATCTGAGGGCTTTGCTGGCTCCAGAAAGGTGAGTTGGGGAATGTATCAATCAATCACTGCAGACAGGAAACAGAATTCCACTGAGATGGTTCAACTGAAGAGGTTTTAATGAAGAGACTATTTGCAGAGGTTTAGTCAGCACTGAGGAGCTTGAGGCACTAGTGACAACAGGAAGTCGTTACCGTCCCTAGGCCTGAGGGAGCCGAAGGAAGAAATAATTTCTGAAACCCACTGATAAATAGTTGAAGTTGAAGAGGTGTGGCCACCCAAGAGAGGAGCTAGTGTCAGAGATGCCAAAGGTGGAAGGAAACACAGAAAAAACACCTTGGTCTCTCTGTCTTCCTACCTTCCACTCTCCTACCAGCCCTCTCCATTGGGCAAGATGAACAGAAAACCAGAGCTTGATTTTTTTAAGTGTCTTGTGGGATCTTAGTTCCCAGTCCAGGAATTGAATCCATGCCCCTTGCAGTGGAAGCGCAGAGTTGTAACCACTGGACTACCGGGAAAGTCCCAAGAGGGCAAGGAGCTTGTGTGATGCAGACCTCAGGGGTCAGCTTCCCAGGGCAAGACACGGATGGAGAAAGGGTCTGGGAAGTGGGATTGCAAGTGAATATCCAGTAGAGGGAATGGCCCCAGATTGCAGGGTAGGAGGACAGAATAACTAAACAGAATAAGAAGGAAACCACCTCTACTGCCTCCTGAATCCAGTCCTCTCTGGTTCCCAAGCCAGGCTGCCATCTCCCCTGTCTCCTTCCTTCCCCACACTGCCCTCCCCACCCCCGAAACCTCCCATCTCCTCCCATAGGGTGTCCTGGCCCGGGTCTATGAAACGGTGGTGATGCTGATGCTCCTCACTCTGCTGGTGCTGGGCATGGTGTGGGTAGCCTCTGCCATTGTGGACAACAACAAGGCCAGCAGGGAGTCCCTCTATGGTGAGAAGACCAGCTTCCTCCCCACCCCTCAGCCGGCTCATGTTCCTCTGTCTAGAACAAATGTATCCCTCTAAGGTGGTGAAAGTTGGGACCTTCTCCCTTAGACTGAAGTTTCAAAACTGATGGGCTTCAGGCCACATCTAACCTGTGGAAGTGTTCTACTGGGCCCATGCAATGAGTTTTAAAAAAATATGAGTCTGTTGAAATTGGGAGATTTCACACTGACATCCAGGTGTCTGGTTGTGCGTCAGCAGGTTGAGGATTTGGCCACACTAGGTCCCAGTGACTTGGGCCAAACAGTGGTTGTGCCCTTTAGAGAGGGCTGAGGATCTGCAGTTTGCTGTAGTCTCTGCCACTCCCTCTCCTGCCAGCCAGTTTTCCCCATCTTCATGACTTACCTCGTCCCTATAGACTTTGGTGTCGTGCACCTGCCTGGACTCTGGGGCCTATCAGCCCCCAGTAAGCAGGAGGAGAGAGATGGGCTGACAGTCCTTTTCTTTTTTTAATCTTTAGACTTCTGGGAGTACTATCTTCCCTACCTCTACTCCTGTATCTCCTTCCTCGGGGTCCTGCTGCTCCTGGGTGAGTGTCCAGAGCCTGGGAGGGAATGGGGAAGGCCAGAGCGCCCCCGGTAGAGGATGGAACGAAGGGGCGGGCAGGGCAGGCGGTAGAGAGAAGGCTCTGGCGGCTGACTGCCTCCTGTCCCCACAGTGTGTACTCCACTGGGTCTCGCCCGCATGTTCTCGGTCACTGGGAAGCTGCTGGTCAAGCCCCGGGTATGTAGTGCTCCTTGTCCTTGGACCCTGCTGGGGGAGCTTTCTGAAGAGCTGGGGCCCATCAGTGAAGCCACTGTCTGGCTGTTCTGTGCACACCTCGCAGAGGGCCATAGCCTTTGCTGGCTCCTGCATCCTTGACCCCCAACATCTGGAGCTGGTCATCAGACATACAGAGCAGACACAAGACAGTTGGGAGGGACTGGATAAGGTCGCCAGTCACAGGGTGGTGAATGAGGGGAAGGGAGGGAAAAGGACAATGGATCCTTGAGGTGAGCAGGGTTCTCTTGGGCTCTTGTGGTCAAGGAGCCTCTGACAGTCCACCCCTCCCTTTCCCTATGCCCACAGCTCCTGGAGGACCTGGAGGAGCAGCTGCACTGCTCAGCCTTTGAGGAAGCAGCTTTGACCCGCAGGATTTGCAGTGAGACACAGTCCTTCCCAACTGGCATGATGGGTGTGGTTTGGGCAGGGGTGGCGGGCCTGGGGACAGCACCATCTTCTCTGCTCCCAGATCCCACCTCCTGCTGGCTGCCCCTGGACATGGAACTGCTGCACAGACAGGTCCTGGCTCTACAGACACAGAGGGTCTTGCTGGGTATGTGGGTTGGTAGGCAATGGGATGCCTGGCTTTCCCCAAGGAGAGAAGCTCCTCATTCCAGGCCCTTGCAAACTGCTTTCCCATTCCTGCACAGAGAAGCGGCGGAAGGCTTCAGCCTGGCAGCGGAACCTGGGCTACCCCCTGGCCATGCTGTGCTTGCTGGTGCTGACGGTAGGTACACCATACTTGGATGGGGTGGGCAGTGGTAGCACCTTGAGTACTTTAGCCCTTCACAGGGAGGAGGGAGGTGCAAAATCCTCCTTCAATAATAGTAGCTGCCTCTCAATGAGTACCTACTTTTGCGAAGGACATCAGTCCCCATTTTGTAGATGAAGAAACAGAAGTTAAAGAATTTACCCAAGACCACACAGGGCCTAAGCCATTATGCAGTTTTGTTCTGGGATGAAAATAAAGGTTAAAATTCCAGTCCATCCCCTCAATTTGCTACATCGTGGACTTGGAAATAAGTCTTACTGGTTTGGAGAAAGATGTATATTTTTCTATTTTGCCTTTTGGGGACTTCCCTGGGAGCTTCCCAGGTGGTGCCAGTAGTAAAGAACCTGCCTGCCAATGCAGGAGACATAAGAGATGCAAGTTCGATCCTTGAGTTGGTAAGATCCCCGGAGGAGGGCATGGCAATCCACTCCAGTATTTTTGCCTGGAGAATCCCCATGGACAGAGGAGCCTGGTGGGCTACAATCCATAAGGTCACAAAGAGTCAGACACCACTAAAGTGACTTAGCACGAACGCATGCACGGGACCTCCCTGGCAATCCAGTGGTTAAGACTCTGCACTTCCACTGAAGCAGGCATGGGTTTGATCCCTGGTCAGGGGAACTAATGTCCCATGAGCTGTGTGGCACGTCCAAAAACACCCCAAACAAACAAACAAAACTATCTGGGCTTTTTGCATCTGTACCTGTAAGTCCACTATAAGATACTCTCAAAGGTACTGTGTTGCTAGCATTAACCTTCAGGAGGTCCCTTACAGCTAATCAAAAATGATGGACCAGAGAGTTCGCTCTTAACATTCTCAACTCTGGATACATCTGTGGGCTGGGACAGGGGTGGGAGTCCATGACCTTGCCTCTCACAGGGCCTGTCTGTGCTCATTGTGGCCATCCACATCCTGGAGCTGCTCATTGACGAGGCTGCCATGCCCCGGGGCATGCAGGTACTGGGCTGCCCTCCCACCCACCCACCACATCATTTGGGGAGGGCCTGAGGAAGGCTGGGTGAGGGGGCAGAAGGGGAGGCCAGAGGGGAGGCCAGGCGCTGGTGGTATTGATGATGATGGGGAGTGCTGCGTGGTGACACCTCTTTGTCCCTCAGGGTGCCTCCCTGGGCCAGGTCTCCTTCTCCAAGCTGGGCTCCTTTGGTGCCGTCATTCAGGTCGTCCTTATCTTGTATCCTTCTGGAAACCTGCCGTTGCCTCTCTTCTTCAAACTCATCTCCTCTGGGGCTCTGGGCAGAGCTACAGTGGGAGGGAGGGGGAAGTGGGCAAGACTTGGCCAGCCCAAGGTTCAGAAAGAAGAACACTTGATTCAAAAGGAGGGCTGGGGGAAGAGAGGGCCATCTCCTTTGAGACGAGGCATTGATCCTTGGGAGTAGGCCAGTTCTTCCCTAACCCAGTGGCAGTTACCTGATGGTCTCCTCGGTCGTGGGCTTCTATAGCTCTCCACTGTTCCGGGGACTGCGGCCCAGATGGCATGACACGGCCATGACGCAGGTAGGCCATGATGTAGGTAGCCGGGAACCTGCCAGACGGGCATGAAGGAAGCATCCTGGGGGTGTAACTGGGCACTCAGTGCTGGCAGCTCTGTGACCCTGACCTCCCCTTTCCTCACTCCCACCCAGATAATTGGGAACTGTGTCTGTCTCCTGGTTCTGAGCTCAGCACTTCCTGTCTTCTCTAGAACCCTGGGTAAGTAGCAAAAGGAGGTAAGGGAACTGGGTTGTTTTGAGTAGCTACTGGTACTGAGCAGACCCTTTATATTCTTGCTCTCTCTGATTCCCACAACAAACCTATGAGGAGGTATTACCTCCATTATACAAATGGAGTAACAGAGGCTCTACAAAGTTCTGTGCTGGGCTTCAGAGTAGTGTTGCTTCATAGCTTATATTTTTTTCATTTGCTACATCCCACAGCCTCTCCTATTTACTTCCATTTTTTCAGTGAAGAAGCACCACTTTCTCCCCAAATCTTTCTTTGGGGGATCATCTTATAAACATTTTTTTTTTTTTTCTTTTGGCTGCACTCATAGGGCATGTAGGATCTTAGTTCCCCAACCAGGGATTGAGCTAATGCCCCCTGCAGTGGAAGTATCGAGTCTTAACCACTGGACCACCAGGGAAATCCCAACATTCTCATTTTAGAGATGAGAAACAGGAGAGCTACTTGATTTACTCAGAGTTACACAGCTAGGCTGAGTCAGGCCAGAACCTCTGTATCCTGAGCCGCAGTCCAGTGCTTTTTCTGTATACTGGGCATCAAATGATAAGCTCAGTTCTCCCCCCATCTTCAGACCTAGGATCTAGATGATGATGGAGGAGATGGGGAGCCCATGCGACTCCCCTGCTACTATGGGGTAAACTAGTTACACTTTTGAGCATTACCTGGTAAAAGTGTTCACCCCAAGGTAGTAGGGGAGTTGCATATGTTCCCCACCTCCCCCGCCATCATCATCCATCTATTGTACATTATCAGTCATGTCCGATTCTCTGCAACCCTATGGACTGTATCCTGCCAGGCTCCTCTGTCCGTAGGATTCTCCAGGCAAGAATACTGCAGTGTGTAGCCATTTCCTTCTCCAGGGGATCTTCCTGACCCAGGAATCAAACCCAGGTCTCCTACACTGCAGGCAGATTCCTTACCATCTGAGCCACCAGGGAAGCCTTATTTAGTATTTAAATCAGTTCCATTTGGTTTTTAAGTTTATTTTCTCTCTACTCTACCATTTCTACTTATGCCTTGGGATTTAGGATACTTGGCCTGTGGGTCCAGCAGTTAGTTCCTTTTAGGTTGGAAGCTCGTAGGAATAGTTTTTTAAGTGGGGGAGGGGCTCAAGAATTTTAATATATGATAATTATATTATTATTATTAGGGGCTCAGTAAGTGTTGGAATAGTGCCTGGTACATATGGTTCCTCATGTGTGTTGTCTCATTTAATTCTCACAGTCCCATTATTTTGTCTCCTTGGTTTTTTTTTAATTCCCTACTTTATAGTTGAAGAAACTGAGGCACAGACGTTTAAGGAAGTTGCTTCAGATCACAGTTAGATGGGGTGGAGTTCAGATATGAACCAAAGCAGCTATAATAAGAGCCCAGTTTCTTAGCCACCACACTGCTCTGTCTACTAAAAAAGAACACTTGGTGACCAGCTTGAGGTTTCTGGCCCAGGAACAAGGAGCAGGCCCAGGGAGCTCCTTGGGACACCTGGAGCCAGAGGGGATCCCCCCAACCCCAACACACACATACACACACACACACACACACACTCTGCAGGAGAGGATGCCAGACTCTGGAAGGGAAGTTGGAGCAAGCCTAGCAGCTGACACTTGCTTCAACAGCCCTGAACAGTCCCAGAGACGAGTTGGGAGGTAGGAACAACCAATGTGTAGAAGCCAACCTATCAGTTGCAGTGTTGAGATATGGCCACCAGGAGGCAGCAGAAAGCTCGGCTCTGAGCCAGGGAAGGGTTGGGGAGCCTACCTCCCATTCTGGCCTTTGTACTTCAGGGCTCACTCGCTTTGACCTGCTGGGTGACTTTGGACGCTTCAACTGGCTGGGCAATTTCTACATCGTGTTCCTCTACAATGCGGCCTTTGCGGGCCTCACCACTCTCTGTCTGGTAAAGACCTTCACGGCAGCTGTGCGGGCAGAGCTGATCCGGGCCTTTGGTGAGAGGGAGTCAGGGCTAGGCTGGTGGGGTGGTTGTAAGGTGGAACTGTCTGGAACAGTGGTCATCCCAAGCAGGGGAGATGGCATACTCAACACCCATTCTGTGACTTCTGAGGACTGACCTAAACCCTGCTTCTGACTAACCCCCTGCCTCTTCCCTAGGGCTGGACAGACTACCGTTGCCTGTCTCTGGTTTCCCCCGGGTGTCTAAGAAGACCCAGCACCAGTGACCTCCAGCTGGGGGTGGGAGGGAGAAAACTGGACACTGCCATCTGCTGCCCAGGCCTGGAGAGGCGCCCAGGGGTGGGTGGCCCTCAGGACCTGGAATCTGAGAGGGTGGGTGGCAGAGGGAAGCTGAGCCTTCTGCACTGCTGCATAATCTGAGCCAGAGTTTGGGACCAGGCCCCCTTGCTTCTCCAGATTTCACTGTGGGCCCCAGCATGGGGTGGGGCTGGGGGCTGGGTCTGGCTCCTGGTCTCAAATCTGTTTACACGTCAATCTGCCTCACTGCTGTTCAGGGCCATGCCCGGTAGCCATGTTTACATGATTTGATGTGCAATAAAGTGGGGTGGGGGGCAGGGGAGGGTCAGAGCCAGTGGCCAACTTGGGAGGCATATGTCTTCCCTTGCCTCTGGCCCAGCAGAGCCTAAGCACTGTGCTATCCTGGAGGGGCTGTGGACCGCCGGAGAGACGAGGGCATAGGGAGGAAGAGGCCACAACCATCAGCAATAAAGTTGATACCAGGGTTTTCTTTGGTTTTTTCAAAGGTCCAGTCTCTGTGTCTGTTTGAACAGGTTTGCTCCCACCAGTCCTGAGTCTACAGAGGGAAATAGAGGGGTCCTTCCCACCATCCTTTCCCTCTCCTCTATCTGCATTCTCAGTGACCTCTGGGGACTTGGGTCTGGTGTTAGGCCATACAATCAGGCAATGGGAAGCTCCTCCTCCCCTGGCCTTGCTAAAACCTGGCTGGTCACCTGACTTTTCCTTATACCCAAGCCTTATTTCTTGGGCGCCTTGGTTATTGGGGGTAAGTGGGCATCAGCATAGGAAGAGGTAAAAGAAGGGGCTGCCTGACAAAGGTTTGTGATTCCTACCTCTGAGAAGAACCTAACTCTGTATTTCCAGAGGCTATCAGTGCCTTGAATATTCTGCAAGCCCTCCTGCTATGTTGGGGATAGGGACAATGGTTCTGCACATGGTTATGCAGATTGTACATTGCACAACTTCCAGGGGCATCATTCACCTCTTAGTCACTGTGTGAATGGTTACTACGACTATTTTTTTGCAAATGGCAAGCCAGTTACTTGAGGAAGGGCCGCTTTTTTTCTAAGGTACACAGGTTACTGTGAATACTAGCCATGGAGCTGAGTTGAGTATGGGATACAAAAAAAGAATGTAGTTGCCACAAATACTCGCTGAACACCTACTATAGGCCAGGCACTCAGCTAAGTTTGTATTTAAGAATTGCTTTGTTTAGTAAGAGTGCATGTTTATGTACGTGCATGCTAAGTTGCTTCAGTCACTCTTTGTGACTGTATATACTGTAGCCCACCTGACTCCTCTGTCCATGGGGTTCTCCAGGCAAATATACTGGAGTGGGTGCCATTCCTTTCTCCAGGGGATCTTGACCCAGGGATTGAACCCACGTCTCTTAGGTCTCCTGCATTGGCAGGCAGGTTCTTTACCACTAGTGCCACCTGGGAAGCCTCCTAATAAGGGTGACATAATTTTAATACCATACTGCAATGAATGGTGACTAATTTCTCATTCTCAAGGAAACAGAGGTCCAGCGTCAGGACATTAGGGAAGGCTTCTTAGAGAAAGACTTCTAAATGACAGTAGATAATGGGTGAAGTGTTGCAACTTCAAAGCCTTTGACATGAGAGAGACCTGAATGGCTAGAAGCAGAGCTCCAGAAGGTTTGGAGAAGGAAGAAGATAGAGATGCCTTGTGTGTGTGTGTATGTTAGTCACTGAGTCGTTTCTGACTCTTTGCCACCCCATGGACTATATAGCCTGCCCAACTCCTCTATCAGTGGAACTCTCCAGGCAAGAATACTAGAGTGGGTAGCCATTCCCTTCTTCAGGGGATCTTCCCAACCCAGGAATCGAACCTGGGTCTCCTGCATTGCAGGCAGATTCTTTACCATCTGAGCCACCAGGGAAGCCCTAATAAGATTCCCTGATGGAAGGTAAAGGGAAGTGATCATCAGCCTGTTAGAGACTATGACTTTAAGCACCTGCTATCCTCCAGCAGTTTCCAATCCACAAACTGGGTATCTGGCAAGGATGAGAGGGGACAAAAGTCCTGAACCAGACTATCACTATGAAGGTCTGTTCCTGATCCTGAGGAAGCTCCCAGCAGTAGACTACAAAGCTACCAGGGAAAAGGGTTCTCTGGTACCCATCCCTTCCAGTCCTGGTTACTGCTAAGGAGGAGAGATGGAAGTGGGGGAGGCTGGGGGAGAACATAGAGAAGGGAGTTGTGTGCCCAAAGGGCTTTATCGGCCTTGGGCAGAAATTGGATCCCATACCTCCTAGATGGTAGCAGGGGACGGGGTCTCAGGGTAGACTTGGGGAGAGCAAAGATCTAATTCAAGTATTAGAGGAGGATGGTTTGGTGCCACACATAAGCTTAGAGGTAGAAGGATGCTTATCCAGGCAGCCAAGGATTAAAGCTGCTAGAATTTCCGAGGCAGGTGCCTGCCTGGCTTCCAGGATGGAAATGAAGTGGACCAGCGGTGGCCGGCTAGAGCCCCCGCCCTGGTGGGAGGGGGCGGGACGGCCCTGGGAGAAGGGCGGGGGGCGGGGCCAGGGGCCACTTAAGGCGGAGCCGGGGCGTTCTGGCAGCGCCGGAGCCAGGCGGCAGAGCCCGGCCCGGTTGGCACTTACCCACGACCCCCCCTTCCCTGCTATGATGGCCCGTCAGTAGCAGGTTCCAGACCCCCCAAGGGTATGTAGGCAGAGCTAGCAACAGCCAGGTGCGCAGAGCCACAGAGCTCTAGGGCACTCTGGGGCAGCTCTGCCTGCTGCGCTCTCTGGTGCCTGGGGAGATGCCCAAGTGACGGGCGAGCTGGTGAGGACAAGAACGTTCCCTTTTGGCCCAAGTCCGCTGCATCCATGGCGCTGCCGGCCAGTCTGGTGCCTCTGTGCTGCTTGGCACTTCTGGCGCTGCCGGCTCAGAGCTGCGGGCCGGGCCGGGGACCAGTCGGCCGGCGCCGCTACGTGCGCAAACAGCTCGTGCCGCTGCTCTACAAGCAATTTGTGCCCAGCGTGCCCGAGCGGACCCTGGGCGCCAGTGGGCCGGCTGAGGGGAGGGTGACAAGAGGTTCTGAGCGCTTCCGGGACCTGGTGCCTAACTACAACCCCGACATCATCTTCAAGGATGAGGAGAACAGTGGTGCAGACCGCCTGATGACCGAGGTAAGGAGGGCCTCTCCCCACCTGCTCGAGGGCACGTCAATTTCTCTGCCCTTCTCTGGCAGCTGGGGGGGAGGGGTGTTGAGCCGAGTTTCATCTATAGAGACCTTGATCTCAAGGACCTACCTCCACTTCTCACCCCCTCCCCCCCAAAAAAAACCACCTCTGCTGGCTGGATTTAGTGATCAAGAGGGATACAGGCAGAGGCTGGGCTGGGGAGGGGGAGGAGGGACTAGTGAGAGTGAAGCTGGGAGAGACAGGGAGGGCGGGGAAAGGAGGATGGCGGCAGGCGAGACGGGAAATGGCTGAGGCGTGGACCGGGGGTCAGCTACCGAGCCAGGCAGGAAGGGCTGGGGTGAGCTGGGGGCCAGGAGCTGGCTAGGCAGCAGACAGAGCTCTACCCTTAGCCTGGCTCCTGACCTGGTAATGTTAAAGCTCAAGGGCCAAAGAGACTGAAGGGGCTGGGAAAGTGGTGACCAAGGGTCAGATCATCAGGGCCATCTACCTGAGGAAGGGCTGGGCAGGAATTGTCTTTGGTATGGGGGAGGCACCCCAGAACTGGGGTAAAGCTATCTATCTAGAGTCTAAACGACTGTCCTGGAGCAAAAAGTAATCTCCAATGGGAAGAATAGATGGACCCACCTGAGACCCAAAGTCCTGTGTCCCTCAAACGCAGTTTAGCTCAAGGACCTTCCTTAGAATTAAAGGGTTAAAATTAATTCAACGAGTATGTACTGAGCATCTGCTGCAGACCAGAACCTAACCAACAACCTAGGGTGCGAGGAGAGGGACCACCTCTGGCCTGAGATCTCAACTGTCAGAGCTGGAAGGAAACTTGGAGGTCACATTCTTCCATCCTCCACCTCCCATTTTTACATCTCCGAGCTGGGCCCCAGGAGGAAAAGTGATTTAATCAAAGTCTTAAAACTAATTAGTGGCATGGCTAAGTCTAGAATTCAGGACTCCCGATTCTAAGTCCTATACACTTTCCATTACACCACCTAATTGTGTATGGAGTGGGAAGGTGGGGGGAGCGGGAGGGGGACGGATTTCCTCTGATTAACTGCCATAGTTTTCCAGGTTACTTTGTTAGGAAAACCTGTCCAGGGGAGAAAGAATTCCCTGAAGCCTTACCTACCCAGAGATTGGGAAGGGGAAACGCCTGCCCTCCTTGGTCATGGAGTATCCTGGCCCTTTCCTCTGGCTTCCACCTGCAGCAGAGGGGGAGGAACAAGGGAGAGGACCAGGAGAATTTCTGACAGGCCCGGGAACCCCCTCCGTCCTGCTTATCTCCTACACCCTGGCTGCAAAAGGCCTTCATTGAGTTGGCTCTGCACTGGGCTGCTGCCCCCGCAGGTCAAGGCCTCAGGGCCTCCGTAGGGGACAAAACGACAAAAAGTTGGAAGGAGTTACCACTTTTCCTGTCTTCCCCCTCCCCTCCTCTCCAACCCTGCGGAGGTGTAGAAGACTCGGGAAAGAAGGGTAGGGGGGAATGTCCCACTGGCCAGTTAGGAAAAAACCAAGTCCGAGGAGAGACCCGAGCGGGGAGAAGAAAAGGAAGCGGTCCTCTGCGCCTCCTCCCGTGAGGTCCGTACTGTGGTGCGCGCCAAGGTCTCCGGCTCCCAGACTGGAGCAGCCGAGATAACCGTGGTCTCCCTCCCCCGGAGCAGGCTTCCAGCCGCTGCTGCTTTACCACCTCTCCACTCCCACCCTGCAGGGGGCCCCCCAGATCCGCGCAAGGGCAGCTCGGTTCGTCTCAGGTGCTACTCCCACGCCTTTCTGCGCGGCCTCTGGAACAAGAGACCGAGCGACGGGGGGCTCTCGGGGCTGGCAGAGCAGGAGCTGGAACTGGGAGGGCTGGCCGCGCTGGGGGAGGGGACCCGGCGGGCCGGAGCTGGGATGGGGGGCGCGGCTTTCTGCCCTTTCCTCTCTCTGCGCCGGGGCGGCTGAAAAGCGCCTTTGTGGATGGAGCTGCTGAGTCCGCTTCTCCCGGCGCGTCCCCGGCCTCGGCCCGGGATTCTCGTTCGGTTAAGTCATCCCGGAGAATGGCCATTGTACTTCGCGCAGCCCCCGCCACCCCAGCCCTTTTTCCAGCAGCCTAGATCCCGCACGGCTCCGCTTGGGCACCTCTGTGGGGGGCACTCGCACCACGAAAGGGTTAATGCTAGGGGCTGAAAGGAGGAGGAGGAAGGAAGGAAGGAAGCGGTGCCCGGTGCCAGGGAAGGCAACGAAACAAAAGATGAATCAGGAGGAGGGAGGGCAGCCGGGGCTTGGGGCGGGGGCCAGGCTAAAACAGGGGCTCCTCTCGCGGAGCCAGGCTGCTCAGCCCTTCCTTGACCAAGCTCCCACCCGCTCTCTTGCCCTCTGCCAGGTTGAGCTGAGGTTCCAGGACAACTAGGGATGAAGGGCAGAAATTAAAAGTAGGGGAAAGAACTAGGTTTGGGCTCTCCCTTTCAACCTCAGGGTGACTCCGCAGGTCGCCAAAGCCGCCCTGAAGGGCGTAGATTAACGATGACACCCATTCAGATTCTCACTTCCCCAGGGCACTCAAAATCTAGGAGGGAGTGGAAGGGGTGGGGTGGGGGGCGTCGGGAAAACAAGAATCAACTCTGCCGTCCAGGTCGCTTTTGCCCCCGTGGTGGTGGTCGTGGTACTGAGCAGACTGACTTTATTCCCCGCCAGCGTTGTAAGGAGCGGGTGAACGCGCTGGCCATTGCCGTGATGAACATGTGGCCCGGAGTGCGCCTACGGGTGACCGAGGGCTGGGACGAGGACGGCCACCACGCGCAGGACTCACTTCATTACGAAGGACGTGCCTTGGATATCACCACATCCGACCGCGACCGCAACAAGTATGGGTTGCTGGCGCGCCTGGCCGTGGAAGCCGGCTTCGACTGGGTCTACTACGAGTCCCGCAACCACGTCCACGTGTCGGTCAAAGCCGGTACAGTAAGGGGTGGGTGGTGAGGTCCCTTCGGGAAACTGAGGGTGCACAACCCGGTTGCGACCCTAGGAGAGACCAAAGAGGCGTGGGCATTGTTAAACCAGCCTTCCATT